AAGACCCACACCAGCCATCGTATTCAGCCGTGAAAGCCTTCGACAATACGCTGGAAAGACTCTTGTTACAGATGTTTTAACAGATTCCTGCACAGAATTGGGTTTGGACTTGATAGCCACCCTTTCTGACTATGATTCCATGAGAGAATTGTAGTGGAAGGAGACCATACAGATGTTTGTAATGTGGCAAAGGGGTCAGTTGAACAGCGGCCCTGAAAAGACGTCCAACAGTCCATCTTGGAGAGAGAAGATAGAAGTGTGGGAAGTCCTTCAGTTGGACAGAGCTTCCAAATATGAATAAGGCAATCCAGAGTGATCCATATCCTATCTGTCCTCAGTACAAGAATCATTTCAGCGGAGACCGAAGATAAGGGGATCCATGCAGGAAATGAACATTCACTTGGCCAAAGAGTAGGAGAAACCAGTCAGAGAAATACATCCATCCTTGGAGATGTTACGATCATCCAGAATGTTGTAAGGGTTTCATTCAGAACGATGCATGGATTAGGCACTGAAGTACATGCCAGTGAAGATGCGAAATGATGTTTCCTTTGAAAATCACCCTTCATGCTGACAGGAAAAAAGATAGGAGTGCTGTGTCAGGAGCTGTACAGAAGTCCTGTGTAGGAAGCTCGTTCCCAAGTGGGTTCTCTGTCTCTTCCATCCTACTTAATAAAATCACTCCTTTGTCATTCATCTGTGCTGTTTGTATAAGAGACAAAACCAACAGAAAAGAATTAAACAATCTGGATCCCCTACCTGGAATTTGTCTTTTTCACTGGAACTAAAATAATCGAGCTATCTGTCCAAACTTTTAGACCCTTTTGTGTTTCAGTGAAAAATGGAGGATCTCGCTTATTTGGGGTTATTTTTTAGTGGCTTACTTTCAGCCATTCTTACCATTATATCTTTGCTCTCAGAAGATATAATGTAAGGGAATTCTGTTTTTCCTTTTTGCTTTCATCGCACTCCGTGTGGGGTAAGCAGTATGGCACTGCATCCACAGAGATCTGTTGGGACACCTGCAAGACTGTTGTCTCCCTTGGGCCTTGTCTCAAAACCTCAACTTGGGAGGGTCTCACATTAGCCTCCTGGCTGGCCAGCCAACATACAACATACCATGTTTTTCTAGGAAAGGCCGAACCCATCAACAGCTGCACACAGTCTGTGGTGAACAGCAAGGGAAGCTCTCTTGTTCATGCAATCTTGTTGGTGGATCTCCAAGTCAGCTGCAAGGCCCTGGAACCTTGATTGCAGAGCAGTGGATGGAGAAGATGGGACAGTGACACTACAGGACATGAAGCCCCAGTGGCAGAGAGCCTGCTTGGAGGGGGGTGACAGGAGCTCCTGTAGCCCAGCCTGAAACCCACTGGTCTGTGGTATAGTCCTGCCACACCAGTTTCTTTGTGGTGTTTTGGACTGGAAAAACAATCAGGCTTTGAACAAAGAGACGGGTGGGTGTCAGTCCTGCAGAGTATAGTCAATAAAGTCAGAAGAATGATTGGAACTTGATTTTATTGATCTAAGCTAGAGCAGTGTTTTTCAACCTTTTTTCACCTGTGGGTCCCCCTGTCCAGGTCCCGTTACTGGATACGGACATGGGACGGTAACTAGTGTGTTTCTGATGTCATCAAGATAGCATTTGCAGTATAATATACCTTGTTTTTCTGTGGCCCCCTTGGCATATGCTGTGGCTCCACATTACATGTTTTTCGCTGTGTCCCCCTTGAAATATCCTAGGGGCCTCAGCAGACCATAGAGCCCCCGGTTGAGAACCGCTGGGCTAGAAAACCAGAATCTTGAAAGCCTGGTAGCATTTCCCCTTCTGTCCTCCTCATATCCAAGAAAGTAAAGGCAAAGGTAGTCACGTTTCTTTCATCTTTACTTCCTGGCCCGGCCTTAAGTCACATTTTGCTAACAGCTGTTGCATCATTTCACCCAAGGTCATCTCTGGTTCTCTGCAGCAGGAGAGGGACTTGACAAATGTTGTTTCTCTTTGCTAGACGTAACAAAGATTCCTGCTTTTCCTCTGGTTGTGGGGTTGCACAAGCCTTTGTTTAAAAATGTGGGTGGGTGCCGTTTGCAAAGGCTCGTGTGCAGGTGGGAGGTGGAGTGCCCCTTTGCAAAGCTCTTGTTTTTCTTCAGAAAGACGTGTCCTTCAACAGAGATTGAAGCTCCGTGTTTAGTGACACTTTCCAGCAGTTTACCCATAAGATACTCAGTTAATCGATAATTCCCTGGATCCTCCTCAGATGACAAATGAGCAACCAATAATCCCCAAATGATACCGTTACAAAGATTAAACCCTCAAAAACAGCTGGAAAGCAAGCAACCAATTCAAGGTGGTTTATTTTGACGCATTTCCTAAAACCCACATGAACCGGGGCACAAAAGAGGCAGAATTTTGATCACACTGTTATGGCTGCCCTCTTGACACGGGTTGTCATCCTCATCTTGGTCAACCTTAGGGACTTCTCAAAGAGAACTAGGTTTTCATATAACATGTTCAAAATATAATTTGAGCCTGGTCAGGGTGCTGAGAAATCAAAGTGGAAGTGCAGAAGGGTGCAGCAAAATGCATTCATTTTTGCTCAAGTATGTGATTAAGAAATTTTGCATTGCTAGTACATCTAAATATATAGTTTCTGAATTTGGGCATATGTCAAGAGAGAAAATTTAAATGAATTTAAATTTCATATGTCATTTTAAATGTCTAGTTCATACACAAGATGTGTGGCTAAATTAGTAGTTTTTTTTCTGAAATAAATTTATGTTTAAGGACATACCGTGTTGTTCTTTATTTTGGATTCACTAGAGACATATTTATGTGTCATAACAATGTATGAAAAGACTTCAGTGTAGTGGCCCGCAGACTAATGAACTAGTCCTCCTGTGGCTCTTGTGGCCATCTGTCACCCCTGGCTTTGGTGCTAGTAAAGCTCCGTAGGTCTTGCTCTATGTGGAATGCATTATAGTAATTTAAATTAAGCATTCTTGGCATTTGCTTGGAAGATGATCTCCTGGCTCCATAGGATCTGTGTTATAACTGAGTCGTTTTATGATTTCTAGAAATTTTATCTTTTTCATTGAAGAAATAATCTCCTTTTATCCCATCGGTGCATTCAGAAAGTCATCCATCATTAGAACAATTGCATGATGAAGTTAATAATTTCAGTGTTTCCCTGGATCTTTTCAGACAGGGATGAAAATGTTATTTCTATTAGTTTATTTTTTTGATGCCTAGAATTGTTCCAAGAGCCAGTCTGGCGCAGTGGTGAAGGCACCAGGCTAGCAATGGGGAGACAGTGAGTATTTATCCTACTTTAGGCACGAAGCCAGCTGGGTGACCCTGGGCCAGTCCCTCTCTCTCAGCCCTAAGAAGGAGGAGAAGGCCAGAGCAAACCACTTTTGAAAAACCTTGCCAAGAAAAATGCAGGGGCTTGTCCAGGCAGTTGCCAGGAATCAACAGTGACTTGGGAAGAGGAAGAAGAAGAGAAGGAGAAGAAGGAGAGAGCTACATAGAGACTAACTGGGAGTAGTAGACTGGGAAATCTTCATAAAGCTCACTCAGGCATCACTAAATGCAGAGACTTTAAGATGTGTGGACTTCAACTCCCAGAATTCCCTAGCCAGCATGGATTCTGGGAGTTGAAGTTCACGCATCTTAAAGTCGACAAGTTTGAGAAACACTGATTTAGAGAAAGCAAAGTTCACAATCTTAGCAGCTCTCGTTCCTTTTTTGCCCGCCAAAACATTTTTCCTGCCAGTGAGTTTCATGCACCAATCAAACTCATTTGATTATTTTGGCCACCTCACGCTTCCCCCCTCCCCAAAAAATAGATTCAGGTTATCAATCCATGGTTGACCCTTATCTGTGCAAATTTATGTCCTCACAGCGTCATCACAACAAGAAAATGGCGCCAGGTGATTATGTCCAGAGCGGCAAAGACTTCTTGGACATGAGATTTTAACTCTACTGGCAGGCCAAAAAGAACAACAGCACCCTTAAGCTTTCGACTTAGCCCTTAAATGTTGCTTTCAGGGACATTTCCCCACATGGATGCCAGTCTCTACCCAGAGGTGCCATCTTGGCATTGCCTACCAGGCTGTCTAGCCCCTGCAGGAGAATGTCTGCAATTTGAGCATCAGATTTGCAAGCCTCTATGTCAGTGTTTCTCAACCTTGGCAACTCTAAGATGGGTGGACTTCAACTCCCAGGATTCCCCACCCAGTGGGGAATCCT